AAAAAAAAAAAAAAAAAAAAAAAAGAGAGAGACGAGTTTATAGACAGAAGAAAGCGATTACTATAAGACAAAGAAAAGATGATAAATGGAAAGTTGGATAAGTGTTGAAAGGACGACGATGAACTCAGCAGCAAAAAAACAGTGTGTGCTTTGAAAACCTTTGTCTCGGTTGCGGAAGGCCGTCCAGAGCAGCTTGAAGCCGTTACCGCCGCGAGGCACCCCGTGGTTTGTTGTCCACCATAACGATATAACATTGTTGGATGAGTTGATCTGTTCGGTGCCTTTGTTTTGAATCGTACCGCAGTACTCAATCAAAAGCCTTGCATTTTTTACAATCTGCTTGCGCAGTTCTTCTGGTTGGCTTTCTGCTTCACGCTGGAAAAAAAAAAGGAGAACGTAGATAAATCATAGCGATAAATGGATGAAATAAATTGATCTTTTGTGTTGCCACTGTTGAAACAATGCCTTATATTCCAGAGGATAAAACTTGCTCAATCACTGCTTTTTACGGTTGTGGTATTTAATTGGAACTTGGATTTTTTCTTTTCGTTTTTGTATATATGGATACTGTTCTACAGAAGAAAACAACGTATCCATTCTGCCGGAATAATTTTCTATGCATTTTTATTTTATCACATCTGTTCTTTTACTGTCAAAAACAACAACCAGTAAATTTATGTCGATAAAATTCTTAAAGGAACATCTGATTGGTTTCCACTAATTCTTTTTTTTCCCCAGTCTTATATGATAAAAGTTTTCTCTCTTTTTTTCTTTTGAATGATAAATGAATCAACTAATTTTGAAGAGATAAAAATTTACGATACAATTGAAAACAGCATTGTGGTGTTGTTAGTTATGAAGTTTAAAGAGGTTTAAAAACTGGTCTAAATAATGACAAGCTTCTATCTACCTGAACAGATTGCTTCCTTAGTTAAAGAAATTTTGGCCATAAACTAAACTTGTCTGATGAACCAGCGATTAAATAACAAAAATATTGAGCACAAAAAACAAAACAATTTTTTTAACTTTTTTCTCTTCATTGAAGAAAATTTTTTTGTAGTACTTACATCAAACACAAAAAATGTATCCTTCTGACAGTGCTGCAGTGGTTCACCAACATCAAAATCCAGAATTCGTAATCGGACCTTGTAACCAGGCTTGACAAATATATTAATAACACAGTTTAATCCAGGTCGATATTCATGCCTTTCGTATTCACGATGTGAGATCAGTAAACCAGATTCACCAAAAACTTCTGTTGCCTTTAAGCCGATACACTGATTCGGGAAATAGTCATCAAAATAGTCTATAAAACGGTGTAACAGTTATCAGAAAATAAGATATTGCTGTGTTAAAAAAAAATAAAACCTTTACTATAATGCTTTTCAGCTGAACTTAGTTAATTAATTGTCTCATTAGCATTTTCAATTTACTCAAATTAAATATTTCCAAAGTTTCTTTTTTTTCGTTTCTTTTATTTCCACTAAACTTATGCGTAACTTCTATGTAAACATAACGTTACAATTTATTTAGCTTTTCAACTGACGCTACTGTAACGCTGAAATTTATAGTTGCCTAACCGGTAAAATGGGTAGGTTTTAAAAACTATAACCAAAAAATCTGTCATCCTTTGCAACCGATAAATTTATTCATTTATTTTAACAACG